TTGTATTTGTAATTGTTATATCTTCTTGGATTGATCCTTTGATCATTATATAGTGTCCTTATTTGTCTCTTATCATGGTCTTTATTTCAAATTCTATTTTATCTGATATGCATATTGCTACTCCTGCTTTCTTTTGGTCTCCATTTGCGTGAAATATCTTTTTCCAGGCCCACACTTTCAGTCTGTGTCCATGCCTAGGTTTGAGGTGGGTCTCTTGTAGACAGCATATATAGGGGTCTTGTTTTTGTAATGCATCCATTTGGCCAGTCTTTATTTTTTGGTTGGAGCATTTAACCATTTACATTTAAGGTAATTATGGGTAAGTATAATTCCATTACCACTTACTTTGTTGTTTTTGGTTTGTTTTTATAAATCTTTTCTGTGTTTCTCATCTAGAGAAGATCCTTTAGCATTTGTGGAAGAGCTGGTTTGGTGGTACTGAATTCTCTCAGCTTTTGCCTTTCCATAAAGCTTTTGCTTTCTCCTTCATATCTGAATGAGATCCTTGTTGGGTACAGTAATCTTGGTTATAGGTTTTTCTCTTTCATCACTTGAAGTATGTCCTCCCTCTGGCCTGAAGTTTCTATTGAAAGATCAGCTGTTATCCTTATGGGGATCCCCTGTGTTATTTGTTGCTTCTCCTTTGCTGTTTTTAATATTTGCTTTTTGTGTTTGATCTTTGTTAGTTTGATTAATATGTGTCTTGGGGTGTTTTGCCTTGGGTTTATCCTGTTTGGGACTCTCTAGGTTTCTTGGCCTTGGGTGGCTATTTCCTCCCCCATTTAAGGGAAGTTTTTGACTATTATGTCCTCAAGTATTTTCTCATGCCTTTTCTTTTTGTCTTCTTCTGGGACACCTATTGTTCAAATGTTGGGGTGTTTAACATTGTCCAGAGGACTCTGAGGTTGTCCTCATTTCTTTTAATTCTTTTTTCTTTTTTCCTTTCTGCTTCACTTATTTCCACCATTCTATCTTCCACCTCACTTATCCTCTCTTCTGCCTCAGTTATTCTACTGTTGGTTCCATCCAGAGTTCTTTTAATCTTAGTTACTGCATTGTTCATTATTGACTGACTCTTCTTTATTTCTTCCAGGTCCTTGTTAAACATTTCTTGCATCTTCTCAATCCTTGTCTCTAGTCTATTTATCTGTAAATCCATTTCCCCCCCAAGATTTTGGATCATCTTCACTATCATTATTCTGAATTCTTTATCAGGTAGACTCCCTATCTCCTCCTTTGTTTGGTTTGGTGGGATTTTTATCATCTTCCCTCACCTGCTAAATATTTCTCTGCCTCTTCATTTTGTTTAGATTGCTGTGTTTGGGGTTCCCTTTCTGCAGGCTGGAAGTTTGTGGTTTTTCTTAATTGTGGAGTCTGCTCCCTATGGGTGGGGTTGGACCAGTGGCTTGTCAAGGTTTCCTGGTTGGGGGAACTGGTGTCTGGTGGGTGGAGCTAGATCTCTTCTCTCTGGAGACAGAGTTCATACATGACCACTGGAAAAACCATAGCTTTGACCAGAGGGACCTTTGTCAGCAAAATGATGTCTCTGTTTTTAATACACTGTCTAGGTTGGTCATAGCTTTTCTTTCAAGGAGCAAGCATCTTTTAACTTCATAGCTGCAGTCACCATCTGTGGTGACTTTGGACCCCAAGAAAAGAAAGTCTGTCCCTGTTTCCATTGTTTCCCCATTTATTTGTCATGAGGTGATGGGACCGGATGCAAATGATCTTAGTTTTTTAAACGTTGAGTTTTAAGCCAACTTTTTCACTCTCCTCTTTCACTTTCATCAGGAGGTTCTTTAGTTCCTCTTCACTTTCTGCCATAATGGTGCTGTCACCTGCATATCTGAGATTATTAATATTTCTCCCTGCAATCCAGATTCCACCTTGTGGTTCATCCAGCCCAGGATTTCGCATGATGAACTCTGCATATAAGTTAAATAAGCAGGGTGACAATACACAGCCTTGATGTATTCCTTTCCTAATTTTAAACCTGTCCATTGTTCCCTGTCCGGTTCTAACTATTGCTTCTTTACCTGTTTCACAGGAGGCAGGTAAGGTGGTCTGGTATTCCTATCTCTTTAAGAATTTCCACAGTTTGTTGTCAACCAGGCTCAGAGTCTTAGCCACTGGACCACCAGGGAAGTCCCTCTAGCTGGTTGTAATGTTACTTTTTTGTCTTCAGTTTTCAGAAGTTACGATTATGACGTATCTTGGCATGGATTTCTCTGGATTTATTGTTTGAGACTTGCTCAGCTTCTAGAATCTGCAAACTGGTATCTTTTGCCAAATTGGGGGGATTTTCAGTGATTATTTCCATAAGTACTTTTTCAGCTTTACCTTCTTTCTCATCTCCTTCTGAAATTCCCATGACACAAATATAATAAATTTTCCCCACAGGTCTCAGGCTCTGTTAATTTTTTCCAGTCTAATTGTCTCTGTTGCTCAGAAATGGGTAATATATACTACTCTGTCTTCAAGTTCACTAATTCTTCCTCCCTCTGTCCTTTCATTCATTGAATCTGTTTACTGAGCTTCAAAATTTCAGTTGTTATTTTTCAGTGCTAGAATTTTCATTTGATTCTTCTTTATATCTTCAGTTTCTCTCCTAAGGCTTTCTATTTTTTTCACTTGTTCAAGCACGTTCACTGTTCACTGTAGCATTTTTTATAATGGCTTTTAATTTAAAACCCTGTTGGATAATTCTAACATCAGTGTCATTTTGGTGATGGTATCTACTGATTGTCTTTTCTTATTCAACTTGAAATTTTCCAGGCTCTTGATATGACAAATGATTTTCAGGTGAACCCTGGATATTTTGGGTATTACATTTCAAGAATGTGAATCTTATTTCAATCTCCTCTTTCAGCAGGCTTCCTGTGACCTGAGCATCAGTGGAGGAAAAGGAGTGCTGCTGGATGTGGGAAACGGGGGCTGTGACTACTACCACTGAACACTTGTGAGAATTCTGGCTCCCAGCTAATACTCCTGACTGGGAGGGATAGCAATGCCTCATTTCTGCTTCTCCTTGACACTGTGGGCATGGCCTCATTACTGCCTCGAATCAGTGACAGACCTGATTCTCCAACAGACCTCTTCTGATATCAACCAGGCAAGAAGCCAGAGGGATGCCTCTTTCTTTCTGGGTAGAAGTCCAGGCTCCCTGTGACCGCTGACACCAGAGGCTTGTCTAGGTTTATCATAGTTTTTCTCCCAAGGAGCAAGTACCTTTTAATTTCATGGCTGCAGTCACCATCTGCAGTGATTTTGCAGCTCAAGGAAAGCAAATCTGTCACTGTTTGCACTTTTTCCCTATCTATTTGCCATGAGGTAATGGGACCAGATGCCATGATCTTAGTTTTTTGAATGCTGAGTTTTAAGCCAACTTTTTCACTCCCCTCTTTCACCCTCATCAAGAGGCTCTTTAGTTCCTCTTCTCTTTCTGACATTAGAGTGGCATCATCTGTATATCTGAGGTTGTTGATGTTTCTCTTGACTCCAGCTTGTGATTCATCTAGCCCAGTATTTTACATGATACTCTGCACATAAGTTAAATAAGCAGGGTGACAATAAACAGCCTTGATATACTCCTTTCCAATTTGGAACCAGTCCATTGTTCCTTGTGTGTTTCTACCTGTAGCTTCTTGACTCGCATATAGGTTTCTCAGGAGACAGGTAATGTGATCTGGTATCCCCATCCTTTTAATACTTTTCCACAATTTGCTGTGCTCCACACAGTCAAAGACTTTAGCATAGTCAATCAAGCAGATGTTTTTCTGTAATTTCCTTGCTTTCTCTATGATCAATGACTCCACAGAGTAGGCTTTTCTTGGGGCAAAAAGAAAATTGAGGCTACTAACTACTCTGTCTTTCTCTGGTCCTGAGCTTCCCAGCCAGTTGTCTTCTCTCTGCCTTTCAGATTCTGCTTATATTTGCTTTATGCAAAAGCCCAGGGTTGTTAGCTGTACTTAGCAGAATGTGTAAGAAAAAGTACCAGCTCATTCCTTTTTATTGCTAATAGTAGTCCATTGTTTGGATGTAGCAGTTTATGTCTATTCACCATCTGAAGGATAACCTTTAAGTAGCTTCCTGTTTGGGGCTATTATGAACAAATCTGCTAAAGCAGTCACAGTAAGTTTTTGTGTGAATCTAATTTTCTTTTCTCTTGGTTAGATACTAGGAGTTGGACTACTGGATCCCATGGTTAAGTGTACATTTAAGTTTGTATTTTTCCAGATTTGTACCATTTTACACTCATACTAACAGTGTATGAGAATCCCAGTTGCTTTGATTCTTGCCTGCATTTGGTATTGTCAATTTAATTATTTCCTTAAGTCTTTCTTATAAGTGTGTAACGGCATCTCATTGTGGGTTTAGTTTGCATTTCCCTAATGACTAGTGATGTTGAGTATATTTTCATGCCCAATTTTCATCCATATACCTGGTAAAGTGTTCAAATCCTTTGCCTATCTTTTTGAGTTATTTTCTTAGTTTTGAGAGTTCTTTTTATGTCCTACTTACAAGTTCTTTGTTGGATACAGCTTCTTTTTCACTCAGTTTCTACTACCAATAACTGGCTAATGTTCAAGACCTATTTATTAAACCAAGGTCTAATAAGTAATTCTAGACTTCTATGTTGTAATGAAGACTACACTCAAGTGTTTTCAGTTTTCCAAGTAGTAAAATGAACTTATTTTCCACCTACTATTACTCATTATCTTTGAGAAACTTTTGGAAAATGTACTAATTACTGTGACATTGCAAGTACTACTTATAATTTTAAAGCAAAACATTCACTGAGTGTTTTAAAGACACAAGTATATTAAGGAGTCACCCTGCTCCTTAATCCAAGAAAGTTTAGTAGATCACAAATTCATTCACGATTTTCAGTATAATGAAAGAGAGGAGAAAAAAAGCCTATAAAGCTAAACATCACATGGAGCCTGTGTGTCAAAGAGAGCATGCAGGTAACAGACGTGATGTATGGTCAGGAGGCATACCTAGATCACTGTCTGGTGCTTCAGAACTTGTGCTCGACTTTTCACACAGACGCGTAAGCTGTCCTGGTGGAGCTTGTTGTTGCTGCTGCTGCTGCCTGAAACATTCAAGAGTGGAATGTACATTTAAAAAACAAAACCTAAGAATAAATATGCCATGAGAAAAACCATTCCCATGGAAAATAAATGATTCCACAAAACAAAAGCGTCACTGGCTTGAACACCCCAAAAGAAGGCAAGAGCAATCATGCTGATGGAAAAAACTTATGATTACCAAAGGGTAAAGGGGGGGATAAATGAGGAGTTTGGGATTAATAGATATATACTACTATATATAAAATATGTAACAAGGTCCTACTGTATAGCATAGTGAACTATATTCAATATCTTATAATAACCTATAATGGAAAAGAATCTGAGAAAGAATCTATATATATATACACACACACATATATCTCAGTAATTTTGCTGTACACATGAATTAACACATTATAAATCAATTACACTTCAATTTTTAAAAGAAAGAGCAATCAGTCTGACATAAATAACTGAAAAGCATCACAGTGCTGATCCCAGGAAACCTAGATAGAAAATTCACATTTATCAGACAACTTAACTGATAGGTGTTTTCACCATAAAGATAACACATTGTACCAATGGAGTCACTATTTTTATGCAAATGTGTTGGTTTACAGGTCCTTAATATTGTTGGAAGTCACTGAAAATAAGCACCTTTGAAAAGATAAAGCATCTCAAATTATGGGCAGATTAAAATGATCCCTCCATGGCTGGCTCCTCCCTGTCATTCATATCTAGGCTTCAGTATCTCCTCAGAGGCTTCCCTGGTGGTTCTGACGGTGAAGAATCTGCCTGCCAATGCAGGAGACCCAGATTTGATCACCAGGTCAGGAAGATCCCTTGAAGGAGGAAATGGCAACCCATTCCAGTATTCTTGCCTGGTGAATCCCATGGACACAGGATATTTCCTGACTGTCTGAGCTAAGGCAGCCACCTGCCATTCTCACACTTTCATTTAATTTTCAGTATAAACTATCATCATCTGATAATCTTTCGCCTGTCTCCCTCTGTAGAGTCATAAACTAATGAGAGCACAAAGCTTACCCAGCTTGTTTCTCCAGTACCTAAACCTCTGCTTGTCACCAATACTTTATGAATGAAAGAGAGGAAAACAACTATTTAACCTGCATTGTCAAGTTTCAGTAATACCTGCTGCACTGAAGGAAGTTCTCCCTCTATTTTTTCAAAAGGAAAATCCATGTCATAACAATTCATACATTAAAACATTTAAACACGATGTTTATGATGTAAATAGGTAGGCGTGTCCTTATACTCAGAAAATATACACTTAAGTTTTGAGAAATATGATGGAAAATTGTGTTTGTACTTAAGTTTTGAGAAATATAAAGGAAAATTGTGTTTGTAAGTTATTCTAAAATGGTTCAGAAATATCAACAATTGGGAAATCTAGGTGGAGGATATAAGGAACTCTGAACTATTTCTGCTTTTACATCAATTTAAAATTACTTCATATACATACATATGTATATGCTAAAAATTTTCAAAAAACAAAACTTATAAACAGCTGACAATCTAAGCAAGAAGCTATAGCTTTCAAAAAAATGCATAAAAGGATCTTTAAAGGAAGCAGATTTTTTTTTAATGAACACAAAATTCTTTAATGGGGTAATGAATGATACTTTCTGTTTTTTATCAACCTCACCCTCTAAGGTATTTCTTTTTTTTTTTTTACTGTTTTTTTAAATTTATTTCTTTATTGAAGGTTAATTGCCTTACAGAATTTTGTTGTTTTCTGTCAAACCTCAACATGAATTAGCCATAGGTATACATATATCCAAACCCTTTTGAACCTCCCTTCCATCTCCCTCCCCATCCCACCCCTCTAGGTTGATACAGAACCCCTAGTTGAGTTTCCTGAGCCATAAAGCAAATTCTCATTGGCTGTCTATTTTACAAATGGCAATGTAAGTTTCCATGTTACTCTTTCCATACATCTCACCCTCTTCTCCCCTCTCCCCATGTCCATAAGTCTATTCTCTATGTCTGTTTCTCCATTGCTGCCCTGTAAATACATTATTTGGAATCATTTTTCTAGATTCCATATATGTGCGTTAGAATACAATATTTATCTTTCTGACTCACTTCACTGTGTATAATAAGTTCTAGGTTCATCCACCTCATCAGAACTGACTCAAATGCACTTTTTATGTCTGAATAATATTCCACTGTGTATATGTACAACTTCTTTATCCATTCATCTGTCGATGGGCATCTAGGTTGCTTCCATGTTCTAGCTGTTGTAAACAGTGCTGCAATGAACAGTGAAATACATGTGTCTTTTTCAACCCTGGTTTCCTCAGGGTATATGCCTAGGAGTGGGATTGCTGGGTCATATGGTGGTTTTATTCCTAGTTTTTTTAAGGAATGCTCCATACCGTCTTCCATCGTGGTTGTATCAATTTACATTCCCACCAACAGTGCAAGAGCATTCCCTTTTCTCCACACCCTCTCCAGCATTTATTGTTTGTAGACTTTTTGATGATGGCCATTTTGACCAATGTAAGGTGGTATCTCTTGGTTTTGATTTGCATTTCTCTAATAATGAGTGATGTTGAGCATCTTTTCTTGTGTTTGTTAGCCATCTGTATGTCTTCTTTGGAGAAATGTCTGTTTAGGTCTCTTTCCCACTTTTTGATTGGGTTGTTTTTCTGGTATTGAGTTGTATGAGCTGCTTGTATATTTTGGAAATTAATCCTTTGTCAGTTGTTTCATTTCCTATTATTTTCTCTCATTTTGAGGGTTGTCTTTTCACCTTGCTTACAGTTTTCTTTGCTGTGCAAAAGCTTTTAAGTTTAATCAGGTCCCACTTCTTTACTTTTGTTTTTATTTCCATTACTCTAGGAGGTGGGTCATAGAGGATCTTGCTTTGATTTATGTCATCCAGTGTTCTGCCTATGTTTTCCTATAAGAGTTTTATAGTTTCTGGTCTTACATTTAGGTCTTTAATCCATTTTGACTTTATCTTTGTGTATGGTGTTAGGAAGTATTTTAATTTCATTCTTTTACATGTAGCTGTCCAGTTTTTCCAGCACCATTTATTGAAGAGGCTGTCTTTGACCCATTGTATATTCTTGCCTCCTTTGTCAAAAATAAGGTACCCATAGACACATGAGTTTATTTCTGGGCTTTCTATCTTGTCCCATTGGTCTATATTTCTGTTTTTGTGCCAGTACCATATGTCTTGATGACTGTAGCTTTTTAGTATAATCTGAAGTCAGGAAGAAGCAGCATTTTTAAATGACCAATAACACAATAGGGCTTCCCTTGTAGCTTAGATGGTATAGCATCTGCCTGCAATGCAGGAGACCTGGGTTCAATCCCTGGGTTGGGAAGATCCCCTGGAGAAGGAAAAGGCTACCCACTCCAGTATTCTTACTTGGAGAATCCCATGGACAGGAGAGCGTGGTGGGCTACAATCCATGGGGTCACAAAGAGTCAGACATGACTGAGCAACTAACACATACAACACTATAAAATAGAATAGAATAGCACACTTCTTTCTAGGGCCCCTCTTAATCTTGTGTTTTAAATATGAGCAACGAGGCAAATTCAGCCAGTGGGACTTGCAGTTTTTCCCTGCTGGCTTCTGAGCCAGACACTGATGTATGCACAGGTTCTGGTGAGCATGGCTAACAAGGGACACACAGGCAGTGGGCTCCCACGAGTATACTCTGATTCTGGAATATGACACGAAAAAGACAGGCTGTGAGGTACGAGGAATTCCTGGCGCATCCTCTCCAGGCCCTCCTCCCCCTCCATTCAAGAAAGTATTTCAGAATGCAAGGGAGTGATAGGTGAGACAGTGCCTTTAGAGATATAACCTTCATTCTACTTCAAAGTGAGAAGTAAATCAACTGCCAGCCTTGAGAGTATTTTGACACCTTTCCTATGTGGGGACACTGTAAGATGGAACATGTTCAAATAGTAAATCAGTATCCTTTCCCCCTGTGCCTTCTAACATGCCTTCAGCATGAGAAAGGCTGGAAAACTGAAAACTACACATCTTAGACTGTTTCCAAGTTAGGAGTCTGGCTACCAGTTAAAGACACGCCCAAGACACACACGGCAGAGGAGGTACAGTCCTCTTCCTGTGGCTTTGGCGGGTCTCTGCTCGCAAGTAAAGTCACGGAGACGCCAGCTCCACAATCCTGCTTCCTGGCGGCGGCAGCGGGGGCCAGACTGCAGGTTCCCTGTCTAGGCAGCTGTGGTGGCAGCTTCCTGGTCCTAGGGTCACAGCTAAAGCAGTGTGTTCTTAAACTTCCGCCTTGTCCAAAGGAGGCTTGAGAGGGAGGGAGGGGACAGATGTATATTTATGGCTGATTCACACTGTTGTACAGCAGAAGCCAACACAACCATGTAAAGCAACTACCCTCCGGTTAAACATTTAAAAATCTCTAAGTAGTTTCTGTTTTTTAGGCTAGACTCTGATAAACTACATCACACCACTGAAGTGGCAGTTCAAGTATTAGGTAATCAGAAAATCACAGTAACCCATGACTATGAAAACACTGGGTTTTCCTGGTGGCTCAGATGGTAAAGAATCTGCCTGCAATGCAGGAGATCTGGGTTCAATCCCTAGGTCAGGAAGATCCCCTGGAGAAGGGAATGGCTCTCTTATTTCTCTCCTGGTTAAGAACCACTTTTTTAAGTGACAGAAAGAAAGAATCAGCATCATATCAGAGTTACATCTGGAGAAGGCATTAATAATGCTAAGTGTATCCATAGGCTACTTCACAGTTTACAAAACAGTTTTACATACACTGCCTCATTTGATGTTCATAACACGGGAATTAAGGTTTCACAATGATATAGCTGATATAGCAGAGTTTTGCTCAGGGTTCTATATATACCATGGATTTGGAGATTACCACTGGGAAAAAATATCATAGCTATGAAAGTATCAGCTAACAATGCCTACTCATAAACTATAAATTTGTTAACAGGTAGACTTTCAACAGTATTTTCATGCTTAATCCAGGAATACTGTGGCTAAACTGTGGCTGCTACATTAAGTATGAAGCTTCAAATACTCTACAGGAAAAAAAAAAAAACACCTATAAACTTCAATGAATAACAAATTAGCACCAGGGTAAGTTTGGAAAAGATCAGAAGTAAGAAATGACTCCACAGCCTTACAGCCAAGCTCTCCACAATGCAAGCTATTGTGACAAGGACCCATCTAGGTTTAGTAATCAGGAATTCTAGTGAAAGGCAAAAATTAGTTTCTCAGCTCCTTCAATCATGAGTCCTACAGGATTCTGAACACTAATCAAAGTTAAAACATTCTCTAGGTCTACTCAAGTTACCACCAGTATTTTCAAAGTCAAACTAGGAGGTAGGGGATAGGAAGCTGAAGCTGGAACCATCACTGTACTTTCTTACCTAATCAACTACCCCCAATCAGAAAGGAGACTCAGACATTTTTAAAAGGGCACAACATTGAATAAAACATCTGCATTAGTTATAGCTAGCATTGTGCTTGTTATAACTTATTTAGTCATTGTGAAATGTTAGTTACTGCATTATCCTTTGTGCTATAAAAAATCTAATTTACTGAAAGTTCTACATTTTTTAATCCAAAAAATCTTAAAAACTTTTTTTAACAAAAGAGGGATTTGTTTTTATACTTTAAAGATGGTTTCCTTTTCTTGGATGTACTTGTGAATGTAACAGTTTCTCTATAAAGTATGTCTGTGTTTATTCTGGAAAAAACTAAAGTCTCAGAAAAGCATGGTAGAGGTATCACTTGGAAACTGTTCTGCAGAGCAGTTTAGAAATCTTTACCAAGGCTTTAAAAATGTTCCTGCGCTTTAACTTAGTAATCTGAAATTTTCAGGATAATTAGAAGAAATGATGAGAGATTTGAGGCATAAAGTCAATGCAAGGATTGCTCATTGCATTATTAATTATAATAGCAAAAATCAATAGGTTCATAAATTGTGATACATACATTTTATGAACTACAACATAGCCTCTTGCAAAGAATATTCACAATCATGGGAACATGTGATATACAATATATGTGCATTTGTGTGACTGTAAGTGTATGACTGTCAAAACACTATCATTAGTTATTAAAGGTAGGATTGTGGTTTTTTAGATTTAGATATCTTGTAAGATAAATTTTCCAAAATATTATTTTTTATCTAGTTAAACTCTGAAAGCTGTTTTTAGCACTGACTAGTTAGGTGATGATATTATAGAACTACCATTAATAATTATCATGTGATCTTTATTCCATTATTGTGTGACAAAAGCATTTGGTGATATTAAGAAAAAACCATGTATTTTAGAGACAGACATGAAAATCAATACAGATGAAATATTATAATTTAGATTTATTACAAAATAACCCCACCCTGGGGTGGGGGGGTGGTGGTACAAGAGTAAATAGCATGGGAGACGGGCGTAAAAGCCAAGACGGCCAGTGTGCTGATATTTGTTACATGTGGGCGACAGATAAATCAGGGTTCTTTATGCTAGTTTCTCTACTTGCAAATAAATTTGAAGTTTATCATATTTAAAAAATAAAAGTTAATTTTAAAATTGTAAAGGGAGTGACAAGCACTAATAAGCACTATTTTGAGATTTTTATACAGAATTAAATCCATTAATCTATCACTGAATAAAGACTAGAAATATCTCACATTAAGAGGATGTCAGTAGATCAGAACTTTCCTTCATATACTTCTGAGTTGTGACTTAAAAAAAAACAGAAAACAAGGTAAATATTATCTTCATTACATCATCCAATGTAAAATGCGCCAACATTTTAGATACAGCTAAAGTACTACCAAATACGATGTGTAAGAGTCTTCCGCATTACAGAGATGTTGAAATGTGAAAAATATGTGCATCTTAGAATTGATAAAATATAGTAAATAACAGGCCAGACTCAGCCACTGCCTTAGTTCTCTGAGCTGGGATCATAGGATGTGAACATCTATTAAAAATCTTGTGATGGTAAGATGGAGTTTTATCTTTAAAAAGAGAAAAGGGGATGAAGACCTGTGAATGACGGTTACTGGCAAGGATAACGATATGGGTGAAATTTCTATTTTGAGAACACTTATACAGCTAGGCACAGAGTTAGGTCCTAGGAGCTGATGGTTGAGATTTACAGTTCCTCTCATGCCCCCGATGCTGATGGGCCTCTGGCACCCCCCAGTGTGGTAATGAGCAGAGTGGTTAAGCACCAGCTCCATCTGAGAGTGTGTTCTCCTATGACAAATGGTGTTTTTCCTATTAATTGACAGGAGAACTTTGTAGGGTTAGTCAGGTAACCAAGAAGTATATTCAAAGGACCACAGGGCTTTGTTCTTGCCTTGATCCAATTCCATTTTTCTTCTGATGACTGAAATTTTACAAGGCTTCCTTCACCCTATTTCATGAAAATTTAATTAGTACTGAGGCAACGTTTTCTCCTAAAACTATATTTGATTTCAGTTTATTAGCTATAAATTTTTAAAAACTACATTCAAATGTTCATAGGGTCAGTCACTAGTCTGTCTTTTTAAAAAGGAGAGAGAATTCTAAATATAAGGAGAGAATTCTACATAAAATAAATGGTTAGGTCAAAGCTATATGTCTACAAATAGACAAAGCCAAGATAAATAGAAAATATGCAGTTTTAATATGGTACCAACTACTTTACTTTTCAAAGTAGGCTTCTCTTCTCTTCCGTAGCTCTTCTGAAGTAGGATGTGAACCCGATGTCTGTGGGATATCTTGACATCTATTTCTGGAAGTACCTGAAAACCAAATAAAACACAACAAAAAACAGTTTTATTTACCAAGTCATGACGTGTTTATACTTAGGTGAAGGAGGTTTCAAAAAGTTTTCTTCTCAAAACTATTCTGTACCATTCTGTAAATGCAAGAAAGTCTCTGAAAGATTCAGGGAAAATCAGAATAAGGTAGTTCAATCTAACCTGTGTCCACTGCAACCACACCTACTTCCATTTGTGACACAGTGGACATGAGGTAAGCTCAATGACCATCTGGTAGGAGAAATAACTAGCACCACACTTGCTTGCTCTTATTAGAAATGAATCTACACTTTTAAAAAATTAATTAATTAATTAATTAGGCTGCATTGAGTCAGCTATGGCACGTGGGATCTTCCTTGCACCATGGGGAATCTTTGCTTGAGGCACACAAACCCTCTTGTTGTAGCACTTGTGGGCTTAGTTGCTCTGAGACATGTGGGATTTCAGTTCCTTGACCAAGGATTGAACCCACGTCCCCTGCATTGCAAAGAGGATTCTTAACCAATGTACCACACCAGGGAAGTCCCAGAAATCAATCTACACTTTTGAAGGCACAGAATTCCAAGAAGTAACTTAAAGTGGAAGACTGTAAAATAAACCCATTGTGTATTCCTCATCTTCAAACATTTGGGTACTGACACAACTTAAGTATGTTTCTGTGTTCTTACTAAATTATTGCTCCAATCAGATTCTGCACAAATTGTGGAATGACATGGGAAGAAGAGTAAAGTACACAAAAATATCTAAAACTAATAAGGCTGGTGTCTGTCCACCACTGGGCTAACCTAGCAGGACTCTGCTAATCCACAATGGGCCTGTGCAGCATTACAGAGTGCTTAGACGTGGCCAGGAGGCATGAGCAGTTCGGGACAAAATATAGCATAAAAAGGATAATCTTCATATTAACAGAAACCCAATTATATTTAGATCCTTAAGGAATTCAATTGATGAGTAATTTCATTAGAAAGTAAAAGGCAAATTCACATTAGACAAAAACAAAACAACTCCTCCCCAAAAGAAAACCCATCACACTTTTTAAGTAAGCCCCTTTGAGCAGCGTCCCAGACATTTCCCTCCACTTGGATTCCCTGGGGTGGGAGAGGGACGGGAGTGGGTGGGGGAAGAGGTGTGGTGAGCTAAAAGAGTGAGCTCACCAAAGTGAGCTTAAGCTAAAAGTTCCACAGGCGGTAAGTTTCAGAGTTCTGTAAAATCAGTTTATAGTCTCTGTCCAGACCTTCCTTCACAGCCACTAGAATGCATTTAAACAGCTGGTCTGGGCAAGGGTCCACTAACCTCACAATGATTAGCTCCGTTTAGTACTGTGTTTGCACAGTATTATAACCAAACGGAATGACCAGAAATAAAAATATAACTAGTCCTAATATAACACAAGTCATAAAAAGTTATATGTATTAAATAATATCCAAAAGTTATTTGTATTAAATAATATCTAAAAAAACAATAACTGATTATATATAGCTACTGCTTCTGCAGTGACTGTCAAAGAACTTCTACCAATAGTATATTAATTTCCAGAAGAACTAAAAATAATCTAAATCAATTGCTTCGACAACAAATAAAGAAGTGCTGGAATGTCCATACCTTGCATACTGAGCTGAATGGCCCTGCGGAGATCGGCTTCTTCATCTTCCATGTCAATTTCCTGGCGACTTAGCGCGAGAGCCCTCTGCAAGTCCTCCTCATCCTCGTCTAACATTCCTGTCCCATCATTTACTTCTAAGACGCGTTCTAGATCTGTTTTCTGGACTCTGAAGAATAAAAGCACAAATAATAACTGCAGACCGTTCTTCTATTTTAGCTATAGGGACATTTATAAACCAAAGATGTTTATGTAAGTTGAAAACGTACAGTTTTTTTTTGTAGATAACGTCTAATCATACAAAGGTTCTATTGTGATATGAATTTGTGTTGGAAAGTACACTTAAATAATTCAGAGAGCTGATTCAAAGTTAAACCAATAAGCTACACTTAAACAGAAAGGTCTAAAAAAACTCCACCAACAATAAAAGGACCACATCTTCAATGTAAGTATGTAAGCTTAATTCTTATAATGAAATACTATCATATACCCAACACTAAAAGCCCAGCTTTACCTCTGTTCTTTAAGTTGTGCTAATTCTTCTCCAATAAGTTTTGGTCGATGCATCTGTTGGACCCTGATCATCTGTAGAAGTTGGTCAGCTTCGCAATCTGGCAGATCACCCTTAACAACAAATATAGAGTAACCTAAAAAAAAAAGGCAAAAATTATCTACAACAGCTAGCAAGCGATTCAAAATTGATTGAAAACGATAGCAGATAGAGAGGCAGCACAACAGCAGGAAGACCACAAACCAAGGAGTGAGGAAGACCTGGGTCCAAATAATGGTTCTTACACTTACCAGTGGGGTGGTCTAGGACAAATTACTTAAGGTCTTTAAGCCTCACTTCCATATATATAAATTTCTTCAATTGGTTTTAGTTGGATCTTTCGTTGTGGCATGTGGGCTTAGCTGCTCGGTTGTGTGTAGGATCTTATTAATAGTTTCCCAACTAGGAATCAAACCCATGTCCCCTTCATTGCAAGGCAAATTCTTAACCAATGGACAACCAAGGAAGTCCCTCTAAGCCTCTTCACCTGTAAAATGTGAATAGCCATCTCACAGAGTGACTATGAGAAGTATTTGAATCTGAAAAGGGCTCTAATTAAGTAAGAACATGGAAACATACCTAATTTGTGTTTAGTAATTTGTGCAGAATCTGACTGGGGCAATAATGAAGAGGCTTCCCTGGTGGCTCAGCTGGTAAAGAATCTGCCTGCAATGTGGGAAACCTGGGTTCGATCCCTGGGTTGGGAAGATCCCCTGGAGAAGGGAACAACTACCCACTCCAGTAGTCTAGCCTGGAAAATTCCATGGACTGTGTGGGGCTGCAAAGAGTCGGACACGACTGAGCAACTTTACATTCACTTTTCATGGAAATATACTTAAAACATACTAAAACAGTGCTTGACCAAGTAGCTTACTCCGTAAGGGACAACAGAAAGGCAATGAAAGGACGGAGGAAGAGCAAGGAGTGTGCACTCAAGACAGCCTGGGTTTTAGTGCCCTGGCGCTTCTGTTGCCTAACTGCCTCTCTTGATCACTTTACCCTCTATGTCTTGATTTCTTCAACTGTTAAACAGATTATGCTGTACCTTCCGCAGAGCGCTAATTGAGGACACAATCAGAGGATGTGTGTAAAAATCTGCAATACAGGTAAAGTGAGTCATCTGTGTAATAGATGACCCTGACACACACCCTTTCTAACTGAAAACAGGACCTGGAAATTCTAGTCAAGGTGCTGAAGATGTGGTTCATGTTTTGAAAAAAATTACATTCGTCCAATGTAATTTTTTAATTAATACAATTCTGGAAAGCCAAGGTTTTCCCAGCTGGCTACTCCATACAATAGCCGAATAAGGGTGGGCTATACTATACGTAAGTCATTTTGATCAATTTTCGTTTTTCTACCATAAATTTTCTTCAACTTTGGTGATTATTATAGATATTCTTTATGAGCATTAACAGAAAATGAAATTAAAAAAAGATGAAAAGGCCTATTAATGGAAAAGCTCAAGAGTAAATCATAATACACTTAACACTTTTTTTTGCAAGGACAAGTATACTCAGAGTTCAGATGGTTGAACAGGTTTTATGCCAGTAAAACTGTTGTCTAGGTTACGGATATACTATGTTAGCTCCCCATGCTATTCCATGAAGAGCATCATGAAGGGCAGAAACTGCTTTTTACAGAGGTGACATTGTGAGGATTTTGGGTTTTATTCAAGATTAGATTTCATTCTAAGTGTGCTAGGAAGCCACTGAAGGTTTGAAGAGTAAAAGTATACCACAATGTGCATTATATTTTAAAAAGACTACTCTAGGCTGCCTTCTCAATGTAATATATAGGAAGCAATGTGCAAGAAGAGTGGGGTTTATGAAAATGGAAAGTCTGAGGGACAGCAAGTATGGGAAGAAAAAAAAATGAGTCTTTTGTAAACCTATTCAGATTGACATGATTTCTGAACTTCTGAGTGGAGATGAGAAAGTTAGGAGTTTGGTGTTTAGGGTAGATGTCTCGGCAAAAGATAAAAGTCTAAGGAATTACTGGCAGATAGACTTTATTTAGAGATGATATTTAAAATAATGGGACAGCACACAGTCAAGAAGTTGTCCAAGACTGACTCTGGGTCACTTCATTAGATAGAGATTAAAAAGTAGGATCCACAAAAGGCATCTGAAAGAAGCAGCCAATATGATATGAAATAAACATAGTGGCTTGGAAGAGTAGTATAGACAGTATTTCAAAAAGGGAAGATATAGTTAGGAACAAAGGTCTTAGGCATAAAAGAAAAGAGATAAAAGTATATAAAATCAAAGACTTACAACATAATGATCCTACATGTAAACTGAAGAGACCTACATGACAACCAACCTAGTAGCAATAAGCATACCAGTGCACAGACTGTGATCTCGCATCACCGTTACTAAAAGGGAAGGAAATACACAAGACTGAAAATTATTATATGGCCTAAAAAGGGCTTCAAAAGGCTAGAGTGGTCATTTCAAAAGCTTGAGAGTCAAGTTCAAAAGGTTCCCACTCATCCAGGATGTGACAATATTGAGTATCAACAGTAATTACAACAGACTAAAACATATGAACTACAGTTTATTTATTCCGGCTGTGCTGGGTCTTTGTCGCTGCTTGGGCTTTTCTCTGGTTTTGGGGAGCAGAGGCTACTCTCTAGTTGTGGTGTGTACACTTCTCATTGCACTGGTTTCTTTTGTTGTGGAGAACCAGCTCTAGAGCATGGACTATAGTAGTTGTAGCTCATGGGCTCAGAAGTTGTGGTTCCAAGTCTAGACCATAGACTCAAGAGTTGTGGTGAAGAAGAAGGTGAGTCGCTCAGTTGTGCCTGACTCTGCGACCCCGTGGACTGTAGCCAGCCAGGCTCCTCTGTCCATGGGATTCTCCAGGCAGGAGTACTGGAGTGGGGATACACAGGCTTAGTTACCCCATGGCATGTGGGACCTTCCTGGACCAGGGATGGAACCCGTGTCTCCTGCAATGGCAGGTAGATTCTTTACCACTGAGCCACCAGGGGAGCCCTAAACTATGATTTTAATAGATTAGTTTACAATGACAGTACAGAAACCAACCAACTGGTTACCTTTGGAGACAAGATACTATGAGCAAATATTTAAAACTGATAAAAGGCAAGAAATATTTATCCTGCTTTTTCTATATGAATTATATACTTCAAGATAACCAAATAGTTGATGAAGGAAAGTCTATTTGTATAGAAGTCCTCCAGCTAATAAATGAAGAAATGATGGAAATCTAATTAATGAACTAACAGACTAGGCATTTATTATTAGCAGCTACTCAAATCACAAAAAGAGAGACAACTGGACATTAAGTGCCACACCATCTATGAAGAGTATTCTGTCCTCCCAAAATCAACTTAAATCTGATCAAGTCTCTAGATCTAAGGACCAGTCTGTTGCTCATCAAGGGCTCAGAGGAAAAAAAAAAAAAAAAAAGGATGCAACAAGTAAAATCTAGAATGTGAGAAACAGAACAAATGACCCATTTTCTTCAAAAGAATAAGGAAAAAAAATAAAGAGAAGAAACTAATAGATAGGTTTTAGAGACACAGCAATCCAATACAATCAATGACCCTATTTCAACCTGGTTTAACTACACTAAAAAAAAAAAAAAGAACAACAATCAAAATCGAGATTAGAGGACTTCCCTGGGGGCCCAGTACTAAAGAATTCACCTGTCAATGCGGGGGACACAGGTTCAGTCTCTGGTCCAGGAAGATTCCACACGCCATGGGGCAACTGAGCCTGTGTGCCACCACTACTGTGCCCCACCACTACTGTGCCCACATGCCCTGGGGCCTGTGCTCTGCAACAAGGGAAGCCATGCAATGAGAATGGCGTGCACTGTAACTAGAGAGCAGCCTCCATTCGCCACAACCAGCAAAAGCCCGTAAGTAGCAGTGAAGACCCAGCACATCCAAAAATAAAACATTAATAAATTTTAAAAGACTACTGAGAAATTTAATTTTTAGGTAGGATGACAAGGAATCTCCTCCCAAGGAGGAGAAAGGGACAAATATTTTTTCCTATATTCCTTTGTCTTAGTCACATAAGACATTTCCCCCCCCTTAAACACTGAGTTGTTATGACAACACTCTATTTTGCTTAAGACTAACTTTGTTTAGTTTCACTTGTACTCGTCTCACATGCTAGCAAGGTAATGTTCAAAATTCTCCAAGCCAGGCTTCAACAGTATGTGAATCATGAACTTCCAGATATTCAAACTGGATTTAGAAAAGGCAGAGGAACCAGGGATCAAATTGCCAACATCCACTGGATCATTTAAAAAGCAAGAGAGTTCCAGAAAAACATCTACTTGTGCTTTATTGACTATGCCAAAGCCTTTGACTGTGTGGATCACAACAAACTGTGGGAAATTCTTAGAGATGGGAATACCAGAACACCTGACTTGTATGCAAGGTTTCTCAGATTCCTGAGAAATCTGTATGCAAGTAAGAAGCAACAGTTAGAAGTGGACATGGAACAACAGGCTGGTTCCAAATTGGGAAAGGAGTACATCAAGGCTGTATATTGTCACCCTACTTATTTAACTTATATGCAGAGTACATCACGTGAAAAGCTGGGCTGTATGAAGCACAAGCTGGAATCAAGATTGCTGGGAGAAATATCAATAACCTCAGATATGCAGATGACACCACTCTTATGGCAGAAAGTGAAGAGGAACAAAAGAGCCTCCTGATGAAAGTGAAAGAGGAAAGTGAAAAAGCTGACTTAAAACAGCATTCAAAAAACCAAGGTCATGGCATCCAGTCCCATCACTTCATGGCAAATAGATGGAGAACAGTGGAAACAGTGATAGTCTTTAATTTGGGGGCTCAAAAATCACTGCAGATGGTGACTGAAGCCATGAAATTAAAAGACGCTTGCTCCTTGGAAGAAAAGCTATGACCAACCTAGACAGCATATTAAAAGGCAGAGACATTACTTTGCCAACAAAGGTCCACCTAGTCAAAGCTACAGTGTTTCCAGTAGTCATGAATGGATGTGAGAGTTGGACTATAAAGAAAGTTAAGCACCAAAGAATTGATGCTTTTGAACTGTGGTGTTGGAGAAGGCTCTTTAGAGTCCCTTGGACTGCAAAGAGATCCAACCAGTCAATCCTAAAGGAAAGCAGTCCTGAATAATCATTGAAAAGACTGATGCTGAAGCTGAAACTCCAATACTTTGGCCACCTGATGTGAATGACTGATTGGAAAAGACCCTGATGCTGGGAAAGATTGAAGGCAGGAGGAGAAGGAGACAACAGAGGATGAGATGGCTGGATGGCATCGCTGACCCGATGGACATGAGTGTGAGCAAGCTCCGCGAGCTGGTGATGGACAGGGAAGCCTGGCGTGCTGCAGTCCATGGGGTCGCAGAGTCGGACACGGCTGAGCGACTGAGCTGACTGAAGACTAGTGAGTGGGGCACTCTGCCCTCTCCTGCTGTCCACGTCAGAAGCTTTCCCTAGCCCTTGTCCACTGTCATAAAACTTTTGCCATAGGAAGCTCTGAGTGCCTGAAGCGTTGTCTCTAGTCCTGATGCTAAATTCTCTTCTTTGGAGATAAAAAATAGAACATACTGTTCACCTAAGCTATCACTACTCTTAAAAAAACAAAACAAAAACAAAAACAGGCAGTGAGAAATTTGAGTTGACTAGTTGGTGCTATTAAAGAATTGTAATTAAATGTTTATATGTCATTAGAGTATAGTGGCTACATGTATATTTTTAAAGAGTCTTTGCTTTTAAAGATTTTAATTTAAAAAATCTACAAAGATGATAAGATAATGAGTATTTTCTTAGAATAAACTGGAAACACAAGTGGGTAGGGTATAGGTAAAATATGACTGGCCATGAGATATTTGTTGAGGTTTGGTGAAAGGTACATGAGGGTCCATCACATTGTTTTCTATACTTTTATACTTGTTTGAAACTTTTGATAACATAATTTTGTTTCATTCTCTTTAAAGGAGTGTATACTAAACTATACTTTCAAAAAAGATGATGTCAAAGGAAGACTGAAAACTGAATACTGGCATTGGCAAATTGGAGGTCATTGGAGACACTGGGAAGAGGGTTTTCAGTGACAGGTTGGTTATCACAGTGTAACTGGAATGAGTTCGTGCATAGGAGACAATACACTAGAGATGATTCTAAGGAGAAAGTAAAAATGGGAGACAGCTGGAGCTTCCTGGCATTAAAAGCTTTTTCTTTTTAATCAATGGAGAGAAGAGCTTATTTCTCTACAGTAAGAATAATAAGATAAAAGCGGGAAACCACATAGAGTACAGCAACAAAAGCAGAAGTTAAGATCCTGAGTACGTGGGAGGAGCTGAGATCTAGCCCTAGAGTGGAGACACTGGACGTGGTTAAGAGCAGGGAACAGCTCACCTGCTCTCATAGGCTGAAAGCACAGGAGAGAGAGAAGCTGGGTGATGATCTGCTGATAGAAGAATGAGGATGTTCTCTTTTAATTGCTCCTGTTTCCATAGTAGAATATAAAGGACAGCCATAAGCTAGGAGTCAGGAAGCGGGAGGGGATGGTGAGAGGTCTGAAGGCAGAAACTATAATCATCATCCTAGGAAGTGGTAGGTGAGCTTACTGCAAGAATGTGGTAGGGATATCAAGTAGCACTGAAGGCTCATTTGAAATTTGTGATCCTAAACTTAAAGCAAAATTGATCATATTTTATGTTGTATCTTTAACCATGCTCAACTGCTCTGATGGAGGAGGACTGGACAAGTCCAAGACTGGATTTTAACCAGGGTTGGGGTTTTTGTCATGAAAGTATGATGGAGGGCGAAAGAGAAAGGAGCTGAGAAGCGCAACAGTGTGTTATAGCGATAATCACTGAATGATAATGAATTATAATGATGATTACAGAAAACAGGTGGGGTAATATAGGAAGTAAGGACCTAAGGGGAATGTTTAGGCTTGTAATATGGTTTAAAGAATTGTTACAAAGGAAAAAACCAGAGAGAATATGGTATAAAGATAGGAGACAATAGTCTAAGAATAGGATGCTTATAATTAGATTTTGAAGGTGGTACAGTTATTAGTAATGGCAAGCAAGAGTGAAAAAAACGATCTTTGAAAGTAAGAAGCAAGAGATTGGATTGGGCTGATTTTTGATGTAGAAATCACCAAGAATGATGAAAAGAGTTGAAGTAGAGCCATGATAGTGAGTCAGATTTTAAATCTTCAGTGGAAAAGAAGGAAGATCAGACTTCGAAAGACTGCAAAAGAGCAAGGGGCAGACTTTACTCTAGTGATATATATTTCAAAGGAACTGTAGTTTTTAGGGAAGAAGAGTGACCCAGAAGGGGTAAGGATGAACAAGAATACCTAAGCTTCCCCTTGGCTCTGTGGTACGTGGGGTCTGGAAGACAAAAAAGCCATAACATAGAAGGTCTGCAAAGGAATCAGCCTCATCAGGGGAGGGCCAGGTGTCAGCAAGAATGCCAAGAGAGCTGCTGCTGCTAAGTCGCTTCAGTCGTGTCTGACTCTGTGCGACCCCATAGATGGCAGCCCACCAGGCTCCCCCGTCCCTGGGACTATCCAGGCAAGAACACTGGAGTGGGTTGCCATTTCCTTCTCCAGTGCATGAAGGTGAAAAGTGAAAGAGCAGGATGATTCAAATCACAGCTTAAAGCTCACCATGTAAAACAAAGATTATTTTCCTGCCTCTGTCACAAAAGCACTATTGTTACACTTACTTCTAAAGAGCTGGTTTTATTTAGCTATGCTTACTTCTAAAGAGCTGGTTTTATTTAGCTATGCTTACTTCTAAAGAGAAGGTTTTATTTAGCCACACTCCCTTCCACTGAGACAGTTGCTATACAGTTGCTATACTCACTTCTAGTGAGACAGTTTCATTTAGCTACTTCAAAAGATAATATAAAGTGTTCAGTCTTTACTTACCTTCCTGCTGTAACTGAGCCAAGAAAAGTGCAAGGTATGTGTCTGATATTAATTCTGGACCCGTCAAAAGAGAATTCAAGTTGAACCACTGAAAAACAAATTGTCAATATTTAAGTTAGTGCATATTGTAAGTAATAAGTTTCACATGCTATGAATTGATATAACCCATCTGAACTTAGTAAGACTGTTTAAACACTGAAAACATGTCAAATTAAGACTTTTTAAAAGTAATTAAATCATGCTGCTGCTGCTGTGAAGTCGCCTCAGTTGTGTCCGACTCTGTGCGCCCCCAGAGTCGGCAGCCCACCAGGCTCCCCCATCCCTGGGATTCTCCAGGCAAGACCACTGGAGTGGGTTGCCATTTCCTTCTCCAAATCATACAATTTTTAAAAACTGAAATAAAATGTTGCAATTTTATCACTATTAAATGTTTTTAAAGCCTGCTTTAAGTCATAAATTTTAAATCCCCCCTTCAAAAGAGAAAAGAAACTGATAGTATTTCAAAGTATCCTTATTGTAGCCATAATTAAATCTTTTTCAAAGGAACAGTCCAACAAAACCCTAATCACATTATATTGATGTGAAAGAAAAATGACAACTATGAAGCTTTCCCACTGCTGATAATTTTGGTCAAAGTATTTTAATTGTGAGAAAGCTAGACATTCCAGGAAGAGAATTTTTAATTACCAACTCATTTTTAAAAGATCACTAAACCACTGCTGCATGTAATTAACATCATTTGTTCACTATTTCATGGGCATCCTAATTTAACCCACAAGATAGAGCAGTTTCAGAAGTTATTGTCAGCATCATCACCAAATGCTTTTTGTGAATTTTACCAGAGATGATAATTATTTTTCTCATCTTTTTCTTTATACAGGGGCCTCAGACAAGAGTCTATAGTGAAAAATACAATTTTAATCAAAAATATAAATTAGAACCAAAGATGATAAGCCATAATTTGACATTTCCAGCACTGCCATTCCCTTCTCCAGCGGTTCCCAACTCAGGGATCGAACCCAGGTCTCTTGCATGGCAGGTAGATTCTTTATCATCTGAGCTACCAGGGAAGCTGAGTTTGTCAAAGATAATGTGAAATGTGTAAATTCAATTTTGAAGAACTAAAATTTACAAAATTTCTCAAAATAATAATGTAAGTTTACATGCAAATCAATATAAAGGAATTCCAGACTCTAAGACTTCAGATCTTGAAAGTGAAGAACAGCTGATCATATTTTTAAATATTTAAATAAAACCCCTAGGTTAAACACACTTGGGAGAGTCCTGCCTTGGTTTTTTCCCAGAGTTGATTCCTACCTGGGTGGGTCTCTCCTGTACCAAACCACACTTACTTGCTCTTTGCCACCCAGGAGGGACCATTTAAAATGAAGCTGCTTCTAAGCAGCAAACTTAAAATAGTAGGGCTTTTGTTTTAGAATTATCTTGTATTGATTTAACTCAATGTACTCTTTCCTGATTTCCTTTTCTGTTTCATACTGGCTTATTTAAAAAAAAAAAATCAACAACAGCTCTATTTAAGTGTACTTGAAATGTAATAGACTGCACATATATTAACTGTACAATTTGAAGTTTTAACATATGTATATACCCATGAAACCATCACCACCACCAAGAGAGTGAACATTTTTGTCACTGCCAAGTTTCCTGGGCCCCTTGTAATCCTCCTTATCCATTGCCCCTTGCCTCCCTCATCCAGGCAATCACTGTCATTATAGATTAGTTTACATTTTCTGTGCTTTTATATAAATGGAACACTATAATGAGCCCCTGGTGGCTCAGATGTTAAAGACTCTGCCTGCAGTGTGGGAGACTCAGGTTTGATCCTTGTGTTGGGAGATCCCCTGGAGAAGGAAACTGCAACCCACTCCAGTATTCTTGCCTGGAGAATCTCATGGAGGGAGGAGCTTGGCAGGCTACAGTCCATGGGGTCGCAAAGAATCTGATACAACTGAGCAACTTCACATTCTTCTTTCCTTTTCTATGGTATATAGTACTTTGTGTCTAGTTTCTTTCACTCAGCATAATTAATTTGAGATTCATCCATGCTGTTGCATGTATCAATAATTCATTCTTTTTCATTACATTCATCTGTTTTCAATAACCCTCTTTCAAAGAGTCAAAATTCTGAGAAAAAGGACATTAAAAATTGTCTCAAAAATGGTATTGGGTATACAAAGACCACTGGTAATTATTTTTAAAAATAACACTTTTGGTACTTTTCTTGATCTTATAAAAACCTTGCTCAAGACACATTCCATTTTTTTTAAATAGAAATGATTTATGTAGACACATGTATTACATGGCATTTTGGAATGTGAATAACCTTGTTAAGCTAAAACAAACATGGCTGAAAATTTTATTCATACTGGACACTATTTCGGGCTTTGTGACACTGCTACGCTTAACACAAACTTAAGAAAAATTGAAGTTAGCTGACAGAACATCTTTGTCACATAAAAACTTACTTGTGTCTAAATATGGCTGTCTTGTCTTAAATAGAGAATTTTACTTATGTCCTATCTATCTAGGTTGTAACCAGGCCACAAATACACATTACTGGTGAGTTTCTTCATCTTTAAGGCACCAATCCCTTACACTTTAGTTGCAAATGAGGTACAGAATGAGAAAAAAGACAGGCAAGGAGGGGAAGCATTACCTGTTTTCCTAATTTTCTAACTGTAAACCAGTGTTCTTTATAGTTGCATATAAATGATCTTTCATTTCTAGAAACAGGAAAAAGCACATATGCAATATTAACCTGAAATATTAGAATCATATTCATTTAGTTTGTCAATTAGAAAATACTATACAAGACCTATGATGACTTAGGATTATATTTACAGTTTTAAGAATCACTGATTTTTTAAGAATTACAAAACAGTATAAATCTCTGTGGAGATGGGTGATGCCATACAAAAGCAACAGCACAACACCCCATTCAAGGATCAGCTCTGCGCTGCCACACGTGGAGGGGTCAGGGAGGCTCAGGGACAGATGTTCACAGACAGCCCCGAAAGGCAAACCAGGAACACCTGAGGGGGTAAAATGGGGACTATCACAACAAAAGCAGGCCAGGCTTATTTTTCCCCTTTAAGAAAGTATAAATTTAAAAGTCAAATATAGGAAAAGCAAAATAATCTTACATGGGATCAATCCTGAGCCTCTGGTACTCTGGACTGTTAAACAGGATTAGTTCTAAACCCCAAACTTTCAAGGCATTGCTTATAACCTGTTAAAAAAAAAATTTTTTTTTTTAAAATTCCAAATAAGTAGTGTTAAGGCATGTTAAGAGTTGTAGAAACAATTTTAGTTCATAGATAAATTTCCCCAGTAGGCTACAGGTTTTAAAGTGCACATGCATGTGTGTATGTGTGCATGTGGATATATCACTATATGCATCAAATATCCATAAATAACAATATAGACATAACATTCAAAAGAGTACCTTTTACACCAAGTTTCTGGAATTGTATGAGAACCATACAATTCCTAGATAGAACTGCCTCCAAAATCTAGACGTATATTCTATCCAATTAGTGCTACTCTTAAAGCAAGTCCATTGCATTCATTTGGCTGCTGAGTCCTGCTTTAGAAAGCTGACAGTCAACTTACTATACGGAATAATGATAATTTTACGTCTATTAAAATGAGTTATTTCTGAGGATTTAAACTGAAGTTTTCATCAAGTCTAAACTTCTTTTTTTTTGTTCTTGTTGATTATGCTGCATTTATTATTAAAACCAACAGTCAACAGCGAATGACAAACTAACTGCTCTTTTTGGTTCACTCTGGACGTTAAAGACTGAAGAGGAACAGAGCGCTGCCTCCCACACTACAGAGGGCAGCCCTGGCCTCCGACTCCAGCAGCAGGCTGATTCGGAAACTCGTGGCAGTGACACTCATCATCATGGGAGACGCCGTCCCTTCTCTCTGGGACTTTTTGTAGCGGAGAGCACCCAGAGGTGGCTCAAAACATCAAATGACAGGAAAAAGAGTCTCAAAGAGTCAGACCTCAGAGGGTACTTACTGCTCAGAAGTATGTACAGACATTTACAGTGCCAAAATAGGCATATTCTGGGGACTATCAAGTTAAAACTTTTAAATTTTCTTCCTATCAGAGACAAGAAAGACTGAAGAGCCTACTGCTTTAGTGGCCACTAGAGCAAACTGGTGTCACCCAGATGAAAACCAGTAGTGATCAGAATGGTTCCAGGATGTCAAAGCTCCACAAACATGATGTGTTTTCTTATGCTCATTTGGGATTTCTTCTTTCTTTTCTCTTTATTCTTCATTCTCTTTTTCCAGTTTCCATTAGGTCTTGCCCCCACAAGCCACTGGGATCTTAAAGCTTCTCCCCTTCTCCTTTCCACCTCTCTTCCCACTTTCGGCAGTGGCTATGACAACTCGTCACAGTACAGTGACATTCAAACTGCTGCTCTACCACAACTCTGAGTCTGGGGACTGGTGGCTTGGCAACTGGGTCAGTTCATTCTGAAAATGGCAAGTGGGTAGTAAAAAGGTGGAAGCCTTGAGACCAGAAGCTATGAACCCCCCAAGTCCATCATCCCTGCTAACAGACTGGTCAGTGCAGAAGAGGCAAGTGCCTGTGTGCTGCTACCCCGGCCTCTGTCTTCTTGCAGACCTAACAACACTGTTACAGAGACTAACACCGTGACAGCTTTCTGTCAAACATGCCAACCCTGGAACGCATGACGAAGAGATTTAGTGTCCCGTTACCAAGTATTCAAGACAAGCAGACAATTCAGCACCATCTGAAATCTGGAGGCTTGAGAGAGACTGCTTTGTGCTTGAATCACTTCTAGAACCTTGCAGTGCTGGTGAAGTACACGAATCCCAGGGCTGCTCTCAATGTTCAAAAGATCAAAGCTACTAAAGCATGCTTTAGAAAGCAAACTCTGTGAAAATACTTAAGAAAAAAAAAGATACGCTTATCAAACCTCCCTTACTTATTTGCATTGTTTTTTTCCTGAGTGGTATCTGCATCAGTGTTAGAGCTGACAGATTGACTGTCTGAATTTTTGCTGCTGTCACCTAACTTTTTAAGTCTATTTAAACGTTTATCTGTTTCTCTGAGTCCGTATTTGCTATTGATAACAGGAGCAGGCGCAGGCAGTCCCACTCTGGATTTAAAAGCACCAGTTCCCCGTCTTTCACAAGTGTAACACTCACAGAACTCATTGCTTTCTCCAAAAAACCCATCTCTATAATAGCAAATTTATTCTCCAGGTTCAATACCTCTTAGGGCCTTCACACATGCTGTATCTCGGCCAGTTGACACAAACTTACAGTTAGGTCTGCAATCGTGGTTTATAAATGCCGCGGGACCAAGCCAGAGCTGGGCACAGTTTTTCCGTGTGGAATACATGACACTGAAGTTGTTTTCTCCATGTCTAAGCAGCATGTTCTCCTCAATTTCTGAAAGTTCGGCAATACAACCCACCAGTAATTCTATTTTGTCATTTCGTTTCCACTCTTTCGTTGCAACTATTTTGGCTCCATTTTGTTCTGAAGAGTATCTATTACAAGGCAATATTTCAAATCCACTGTCAGTTGCAAACATTTGCAAATAAATAAATACATGTTCCTTGAATAATTTCTCCTGCATTTTGTTCTTGTTGAGAAAATAGTGCCGTGCCCATTCTCCTGAAGTCAGACATTTGAAGGCTTTCTCCAAGTGCTCATCTTTCTTAAAACGTTCAGTAACTTCTTTGAGTTCTTCCTGCCTTCCTTTAATAGGCCGAAATCTGGCTGAGTCCTGCAATCAGTGCTCAGCTAATCCCATGGAGTGCCTCCTGATCTTTGGATGAATGAGTTCTCTTAAAATTACCCTTAAAGGGTTGTTGTGAGAAAAACTGTCAGATTTTGAAAAATGCCTTGAGCTCCTCGAAGGAAAGGCGCTAGTATTCATTTTGTGTGTTTGAAAACCTAAATAGGGATCAAGCACCAAACTGGTTGCTAGGGCATCATTTTCACAGAGTTCCTTGGCAGACATTCCAGAAGATGGTACGTATCGACTCTGTCCTTCGAAGCCTGGATTCCCATTACATCTGCTTGACCTCCTCTCGCCTGCGTTTCTGCCAGTCTTCACGTTGTCCTTTCCCGTGTGCTGCAGTTTTGACTGATTCTGCTGATGGTCATTAGACAACTTGCCTCCATGTCTCCTGCCATTCACTACCATGTTCTTGGATTCTCCCAACCACTTCATACCCACAGGCAGCCTGACTCAGGTGCATTTAGTCACTTTCTTCAAATAGCTTAGAGAGTAATTTCAACGTTCTTTCCGCCGGGCGCTACCCGTTCCTCCTCGGGGCGTGTCGAGGCCCAGCCGCCCCGCCGCTGCGCCGCTGGGGGCAGGGGGGTGGCCCCGCTCTGCCCAGCGACACTTCCTCATCCCTCAAGAAAATCGTCTAAACTTCTTTTATCGTGGGTTTGTGATTTGTAGGAAACCAAAAGATACACTTGATTATTTCAAACTGAGGAGGAAAAAAAAGGAACATTTTTGAAAATTCACCACCTACCCTCCAAGGTATCCAACAAAGCAGCAAGTGAAGCAGGCATGAATACAGACAAAAAGTGAATGATCTGTGCCCACTGCACAAACAGGAAATGGCAAGCGCTGAGCCCATTCAGGCGCCTGCTCTGGGCCCGTGACCTGTAACAGCAGGTAATAGCAGCTGTTACCTGTAACCATCCACAGTGAAGCCCTGGCTGGAAATGCTGGTGACCGAGCAGTCCAGTCACCAGCATGGAACAGGGGAACACATGCAGAGATATCTGCAGGTCCCCCAAGAGAGGTTCTAAAGAACTCTGGATACACCTCATAGGTGTTAGGAGTGGAATCAAAGATCCACAGATGAAAGAATCAGTCTCCTGAGTATTATATATATATTCACCCACAGAATTCAAGGGGAGCGATAAGTTCAAAAAAAGGGAAAAGACGAAAGCCACAGACCATAATGAAGGAATCCAATCCTGGTAGGCTGATTTAAGTGCAAGGTTAGCAAAGGGTTCCCTTCTGTCCATGGGATTTCCCAGGCAAGAATACTGGAGTGGGTTGTCATTTCCTTCTCCAGGAGATCTTCCTGACCCAGAGAGCAAACCTGCGTCTCCTTCATTGGCAGGCGGATTCTCTACCACTGATCCATGAGGGAAGCCTTTGAAATACTGTGACTTACTGGAATTACAGTTATTAGCACACAGATTCAAATTACCAACCTCCTTTGAAAAAGGAAGGCCTTCTCTAAAATGAAGAATCTACTGTCTTAATTTTCATGTTTATCTATATAGAAAACAAGTATTCTAAAGGATAATCGTATACTCTTATACTCAATGTACTGGAGGAACTTCTGACGGTCACATCAATAAAGTGACTATGAACGTCTGTGAAAAGCACATCTTGAGCTCAGTGCCTGGGATATAAACAACACTTACCACATGCTTGTGACTACTTACTTGAATAGAGAAAAAGCCACTGTCATCCATATTTCCAGAAGGCTGCTGTTGAATTTGGAGAGGTGGTTGGGGTGGGGATTAAGGGTGGGGAGAGAAGAGTAAAGTATCATTAGTGTGTGTATTTAAAATAACATCTTGTGCAGTCCCATCTACAAAGCTGAGAGCTGAGTTATAATTAACAAGTCAGATCCCCATTGGAAGAGCAGCTCATCCCTTTCTAAACAGTACCCACATTTTTTAAGAAGCATGATTTTGTAAGTTTAAAATCAATACCTGCAAAAATGTGCGATAGTCTTCACTAGTAACTCCTCCTTCTGCCATTCTCATCCTCTCTTCCTCATCTAGCTGATGTGCAATTGAAGATAATTCCACAGGGCTGAAGTATTCTCCTTGCAGTAGGTTATTCAAGCAATGTTGAGCACAAAGTGAGCCTTCTTGCTAATATTTCCAAAAGAAAAAATTCAAATGTGATTTGTAAAACAGATTTGTACAATATCTTCTCCAAAGAGATATGTAATCATTAACTTCTTCACACAGCCAAACCAAACAGTTTTAGCTTTAGAAACCATGAATAACCCAGGTATGGGTGTTTCCACTTGCTAACATTTATTTTATAATTTTACCACTAATGTAACTACAATTATGTGATCAACTATATGGTCAAAAACAATGATTTATATTAAACAAACATCATCTATATCAAATCTTATATTTTACTAAAAATTACAATAAACATTTAGCCTCCCTCATTTTCAGTAGCTAAAACAAATTCACTTTTGGAGATTCCATGGTAAATTACTAATGCTGAAAAGAACATTTAATCCCTAGAACATTTGTTCTTTCAATAAGATTTAAATGTTCGTTCATGGGATGTTTATGTACTCCATTTAATGAGTACATTTAAATGTTCGTTCATGGAATTTCAAATCCATGAACAGATGAATCTCAACAACTGACACAGTACGACAAATTCTATTCCAAGTTTAAGGAGACTTGTAGCTACAAAAAATGAGGTTCTCTTAAAGAAAGATAAGGCACACACTGTGGTGCAATGAGCAACACTGTCCAGAAAATTATGCTTGGAGCTCACTTCTAGACAAGGCAGCAACGAGACTGCATCCAAGCTTGGGTCTCCATGGGATCACTGGCTTCCTGCTATGAGGGTGGGAAGAATACAACTTTCCACAAGCCCCAGAGTCTTTGGGCACTGGCAACAGGCTTTCTCACACAAATGGCACACAAACCTAAACCCAGGCTATCTTCAACTAAGTAGCCTGAGTATCACCCTTCTCCCCTCAACAATGCTGCTCTCCTGTTTCCCTATAAGAAGGGAGACTTATGGGTGGATGAGGTCCCTCCCCGTGCACCCAGCGCCAGGTTGGACTCTAAGGGATAATGACAGCTGGGAGAATACCTTCTCCTGCTAAAAACCCTGATGCTCTAAGTTATCCATTTCCCTAGAAAAGTCTATTCTTTAACCCAGCCTGTCTGACATCCTGCAATTTATTCTGAGCTATGTCACACAACAGATCTGACCCCAAAGACCAACACTATGCAAGACACATCTTTTTCCTGATTTAATTTTCTGGGAACAAAATTCAGGAATGCAGCACTGAGACAGTCTGAGTGTGAGCTAGGGGGCTGAGACGAGTTTATCTTCTTATTTTGGTACTGAATAAACAGTTTGAACTTAAAGAAGGCACTATCTACCCCTCAAATCATAGCTACGATGGTGAGAGAGGACTTGTCTGCATCTCTTTTTCCTTCTACTGTATTTCTACTACCAGAAAGCACCTCCCGCCGAATAATATGTAGGTTGGAGGGAAAGACCCTGATGCTAGGAAAGATTGAAGGCGTGAGGAGAAGGGGACGACAGAGGATGAGATGGTTGGATGGCATCACCGGCTCAATGGACATGAGTTTGAGCAAGCTCCGGGAGTTGATGATGGACAGGGAGGCCTGGTGTGCTGCAGTCCATGGGGTCACAAAGAGTCGGACACAACTGAGTGACTGAACTGAACTGAACAGATGTCCTACTTATATTCTACTGAAAAATGGGCAAGACAAGCAAGTACTCACAAGAGGATAGCCAATGGATTAAAAAAACACAAAAGGGGGCTCACCTTCATTTTAACTATGAGAAGAATGCATATTAACGTTAACAGTATGTTATTACTACACACTCCAGAATGACTAAAATGTTGGAGAGGATTAGAGACATCAAAACTATTCCATACTACTGACAAAAGTATAAATTAGTATAACCACTTTGGAAAACTATCTGGAGTATCTACTACAACTTAACATCTACTAACCCTATGATCTAGCAATTCCACCATTAGGTACAAAGCATAAGCAACAGAAATGCATACAGATGTACATCAAAAGACAACTACCCAAATGCTCCTCACAGTAGAATGGCTAAAATGTGCTATATTCACAAAGAAATACTATACAACAACATACTGTGTAATGATGAGTTGCTCAGGTGCAACGGGATTCTTTGTAAGCCCATGGATTGTAGCCTCCAGGCTCCTCAGTCTGTGGAATTCTCCAGGCAAGAATACTGGAGTGGGTTGCCATTTCCTCCTCCAGGGGATCTTCCTGACCCAGGGATTGAACCCGGGTCTACATGCATTGCAGGCAGATTCTTTACCATCTGAGCCATCAAGGAGGCCCTATTATATTGGCCACCAAACTGCAAATTACTCAAAGGCTCCTCCCAGGAGAATGGCTAAATTGTGTTAGAGCCACAAAGAAATACTATATAACAACATACTATGTAACAAGGAGTTAACTATATAACATAACAATACTATATAACAATGAGTTAACCACAACTACCTGCAACAAAATGGGTAACTCAATCAGTGTTAAACACCAGACTGACTCAAAAGAGTATACTCTATATGATTCCATTTACAAAATCTCAAAACAGACAAAACTGATTAACCAATGATGTTAGAAATCAGGATAGAGGTTACCCTTGCAGGGGTAGAGGGAGCCTTGGCATCCTGGAAGGGGACATAGGGGGCTTATAGGATGCAGGTAAATGTTCTATTACTTCATGTAATATTATTTACACATGTGTCCATTTCATGAGAATTCATTGAGCTGTGCCCCTACATGTGTTATCCTTAATAAAAACTTCAAATAACAAAAAAGTCTCTGTTAAGATACGCTATTTCACTTCAAGAGCTACCTAATTCAGTGACCGGACACTACAAACAGCAGAGGTGGTATTCAAACCCAGGCAGAGTTTGTACTATTAACACTTCCTTAAGCCAGTTATTTGGAACTTGGTGATTCTTAAACCTCAAATAGCCTGAAGATGGTTAGGAAAGAGCAGTCTCTCTCTCACACACACAACAAAAACATCATGAATGTCATAAAGTCAAAGCTCAACATCTTTCCAGTATTTTCACTAATTTTAAATACAATCCCAACAAGTTCGGTTATCATTCTCAGTTGTAAATGCATAAAAGTATCAATCCAGATGGCACAAAAATAACCTCACTGAGAGCAGTCAGCAATAGAAGTGATAAAGACAGAAAGCAGGTACCAGACACCACCCCCCTGCCAAAAAAAATCCAAACAACAACAAAAAACCAGTATTAAGTGGCCATGTAGCATTAGGGTTTAAGTTAGGGACTGGCAAACTCTAGCCCTTGGGCCATATTCACTCTGCGCCAGTAGCTATGAAATGATTTTCACATTTTTAGATGGTTGGGAAAGCATATAGATACAGACACACACACACACACACACACACACGAATATGTGAGAACATAAATGACTTGGAAAGTGTAAAATATTTACAGAAAAACTGTTTAGATAAACAGCACCATATCATCTTAGATGCTCAAGGAACACTCTTGATATATTTAGATTTTTATTGAGCGCCTATTATGTGCCAGATACTGGGGACATATCAATAAACAACTCTTGAGTTTACATTTCAACTTACTGAAGGGCACTCAAAGTGACAACTCTGAAAATGGGGAAATCAGAACTCCAAGAGGAAGTGACTACAAAGTTCTCTGCAGGTAGACATCCCAACATGCACAGATTCTTATCGGCCACAGTTGGTTCTCTGGCTCTATATGAGGAGCAGGGGAAGGGAGTGCTCTGGAAAATGTCATACTGAGCTCAAACATCCCCAAAATGGCCTCTGTAGAAGATGGGCAACAGGTCCTATGGTTTATAGGTGCTTTCCCTACCTCTGAACTATGCCTGAAGAACTTGAAGAGCCTTCATTTGCTAAGTACATGTAAGGTGATGAGGGTAAATGTGTTCTTGAAGAGTCTTTAAATCTATATTCAGGCTGATAATTCAGGGTGACTTCTCTAAGTTTAGTGGATTTTCATTAGGCTAGTGTCCAACTTCTTCTGATATCATAATTAAGCAGTTACCTCCACGGCAATCTATCCAGACTAGGTACCAATCAATATTGTTTTTGTTTGTTTGTTTGTTTTTTTAAATACACTGCATGGTCCTCAAAAAGTGACGTGGAAAAATTTTAAGTTTTCAGTGGGAAACATCTGGTCCTACACCAAAGCTTCTGAAATTAGTCATAAAAATATGTCCACTCAAGGTTCTTTTCATCCAATCTCCTTAGCCAAGCAACTAAATTTCTTGTTCGAGATTCATATACGTCAGTCAACTGAAAAGATTAGTGATAACCAAACACTGAGTCCTTCCTCATCCACCAAAACAAAACAAAAACTTTCTGAAATATTTTCTATAAAGAAAAGCATTCCATAACAATTTGTTTGAATTTATACTGCACTTCCTTTGTCTCTTATTGCTTTGATTGCTGTGTGTGTGCATTTTAAAATGGATATATAAGTATTTAACAAAACAAAACCTCTTTGCTCCTACTAAATAACAGCCTCAGCAGCAACTCGTTCCAAACATGAAACTACTATGAAATAAGATACGTGTTTAAGCCGACCTGAGAAAGGTTTCATTCACACTCAAATGAAATGGTAATTGTATGCGAAAAAAGACGAGTTTATCCACATGCCACAAACATTAATCTTCAAGTGCATAGTCATGGAAGAATCAAAGCACAATGGGCTAGGCAGACAGCAACAACATTATTCCTGCCCATCCTTAATACCTAACAAGAAAGCTGGCCTCCTGATCCGGAAAGATGCCACTACCGACAGAAACGAAACCCAAACATCTCGTAACAGAAACTCTTGTGACGACTTCCCAGTGCAGAGGCGCACCGGGTTTCCTACTTCACTTCGCTGAAGTGTCACGCCCTCCATAGGACGAGCCAAGGTCCCAGCCTCGAGAGGCTTACGGACCCAGTGCAGGACAAGGATCTAAGGGTATGGGAGGTTCCAATAGAGAACTGAGGAGACCAGAGAAGGAAAAGTTAATTCTTCCAAGGACCAGGACTGGCAGAGTCGGGTGAAGTTGGGAAGGATAGAGGGAGATGTCCAAGAGGTGATTAGCTAGGATGTGGGGAGACGGAGAGAGGGAGACAGGAGAAGAAATCCCACGGAAAGTGGAGGGGAAGCGCTGAAGCCATCCCCTCTCTCGTGCCCGGAGGCGCCCCCGGCCCGGCCCTTATCCCCTCCCGGCTTCCTAAATATCCCCGGACCGGGTCTCCTCCGGATCCTCGGGCACGGGCCTTGGGGTGCAATGGGGACATCGGTGAAGCTCCCTCGCGGGGAAGCTCCTCCCGCCGGCGAGATCTGGATGGGGGCCTCTCGGGCCCCACCCAGCTCCCCTGGAGGCGGTGTTGCCGTGCCCCACGCCCGCCACCACGCCGCGGACAGCTCCCCACCGAACGTGGACACTCACTTTTTCGTGGAAGATGGACTCCATGTTTATTTGTCTGGAGCCAACGGCCCCCGCGCCGAACCACCCCCCCACCCCGCTCCAGCTCCGCCCCCGGCCCCATCCCTCCGCCCCCGCCCCGCCCCGCCACGGCCCGCCCTGCCCACGTGCCTCATGTAGACCAATCATCCACGAGAATGCCAGTCACGTGGAGCGACGAGGCGTGAACGCTGGGCGGTAAATGAGGGGCACGTGACCTTCGTAGCGCATCGTAGCATCCCTGGGTTATCCCCCTAAAGCTAGGGAGTGCTGCAGCGCCACCTGCCGTATGGAGGATCATCTCCCCTTCCCACTCATTGTGATGGATTCTTAAGCTTCTGGAGATTTGTTTTGAGTAAGGATCACTGAGGGTCTATGTTCTTTTTGTTTTCTACTTTTACTTTGTATTTGTATTGTCTTTTTTATCATATTTGCTTACGGTAATTTAGTATCTTTCTCCTCCCCCACAGAAATTCTCATTGCATCTCTCAATACCGACCACGTGTGTGAAAATGAGTTATTATTTACATAGCACTTACTGCCAGGTGGGCACTCTTGGAAGTGCTTTGCATATGTTAAGAAATTTAATTCAGCAAACTTTGATGTAGGCATTATTATCCCTATTTTACACACGGGGAAAGTGAGTCATGAAGATAGTACAGCACAACTAGAAAGTCCAGACACCTTGTTACTAGATGTAAGTGTTTTGGCCCTGAAGTGGAAGCATAAAATTGAGGGAGGTGAAAAGCCCAGTATAGTGGTGGGGGAAGCTGAAGGAGCAGGATAAGATCAGGTCTTGTACCCTGAAACCAGGTTAAGGAAGGTGTGCTTTTTTTTTTTTTTAAATCTTCTCCTGGGCACCACAGGCATGTAGGACCTTAGTTCCCAGGTGAGGGATTGAACCCAAGTCCCCTACATTGGAAGCATGGAGTCTTAACCACTGGACCACCAAGGAAGCCCTAGGAAGGTATGCTTTTTACAGGCAATGGGGAGCTATAAAAAGATTTTACAAGGAGGTGAGACAGACTCAGATTTGTGTTTTAGAATGATCAGTTTGGCCAAAGCAGAGAGCCATTACTGTCAGAGGAATCCTGGGAGAGGTGACAGTGTTTGGACTAGCATCATAACTTAGTGATAGAGAGAGACCATTTTGAGAGATAATTAGCAAGTGAGACTGAAAATATGAAAGTGTCCCACTCTTTGTGACCCATGCACTGTAGCCTGTCATGCTCCTCTGTCCATGGAATCCTCCAGGCAAGAATATTGGCGTGGGTAGCCATTCCCTTCTTCAGGAGATCTTCTAGACCCAGGACTTGAACCCCATGTCTCCAGTGTTGTAGGCAAATTCTTTACCATCTAAGCCACCAAGTAGGGACACTCAACCAAACTTGGTGGGAGAGTGGGGAATGAGAGAGAGAGAAGTGTTAGGGTCAGACTTCTGGGTTTCTGCCCTAGGTAGCCACTGTGGCAGGAAGGATATTCACTGAGGTGGGGAATAATTGGGAGGAGAAACTTCGGGGAAGAGAAAAAGACAAAGAATTTATGCCTTGCAGATACTGGTTGAATGTGAAATATCTATGAGATATTCAGTGTTGAGGTGGATGGATGGATAGATATGCTGTTTGGCTGTAGAATGGGGAGTTGTTGGCATAAAAAAAGGGAACTGAAACCACAAAAGTGAATATAATCATCTTGGGGGAAAAGAAACTGGTTAGCAGAGCCCTAAGTGTAGAAAAGGAATAGCTAAGGAGGGAGGAAAGCAGGAGGGTGTAATGTTACGGAAGACCTAGAAAGAGAGTTAGTGTCATTTGCTGCCCAGAAGTCCAGCGGCATAGGGACTTATAAGAGCCCACTAAATTGTGTTGCTACAGAGACCATTGGTGACCTTGGCGAGTCCATGTCCAAGGGGCAATGGGAGGGAAGGAAATGAAACTGCCCGCGAGGACCAGGTGCTCAAGTGAAGGATTTGGATATCATTTGTCAGATGTCTCTGCATGTCCAGTCCACAGTCTTGTATTGGAAATAGTGTTCTTAAGAAATTGTAGCCTAGCTGGGGAAACAAATCATGGTCTCAGGAAGTGAAAAAGAATATGCAAACCAGTTTTTCTGTTTTTTTTTTTTTTTTTGAAAGAAAATGTATGTCTGTGTAGAGAAACATGTTTTGTTTTTATTTTTTCATGTACATGCATTACAGAACTCTGGAAAAAATATACAGAAAACTCAGAGGTTACACGTTTGAGCGGGAAAGGGGCTAGGCAAATGGTGGTAAGAGTGGGATGTATTGTATTGTATACAATTGTATTTTATTGTATGCAATTTTGGTCTTGATTTTTTAAAATATTTGTTTACTTGACTGTACCTGGTCTTGGTTGTGGCCTGTGGGATCTAACTCCCAGACCGGGGATCAAACCTGGGCCCCCTGCATTAGAAGCACAGAGTCTTAGCTGCCGGACCACTAGGGAAGTTCCTAGTCTTGATTTTTGAGTTAATTAATGTATTACTAATTCAGAAAAATATGCAGTTGTGTTCACTTCCTATTTTGTAGCAAATTACCACAACCTTGGTGACTTAAAACAAAAATTTATTCTCATTGTCCTTGTGGCCAGAAAGCTGAACCCAAGGTGTCAGCAGGGCCCTGCTCTTGCTGAAGCCTCTAGTGGCAAGTCGTTTCTTGCTTCTTTCAGCGTCTGGAAGCTCCTGGTGTTCCTTAGCTTGTGACAACATAACTCCAATTTCTGCCTCTGTCTTTACATGGCCTTCTTCTTTCTGTGTCTCTTTGTGACCTCTCCTCTTATAAAACACTGATCAATGAATTTAGGTTCCCCTCTAATCCAAGGTAATTTCGAGTAGATATCCTTAACTATATTGGCAATGACTGTATTTCCAAATAATGTTTTTGGTTCTGGATGGATTTGAGTTTTGGAGGATCATGATTTAACTCTACCAGAATGAACTGCTTGTGTGTGTGCGCTCAGTCCTTTTCAGTCATATCTGACTCTGCTACCCTATGGACTGTAGCCTGTCCATGGGATTCTGCAGGCAAGAATACTGGAGTGGGTTGCCATGCTCTCCTCCAGGGGATCTTCCCAACCCAGGGATCAAACCCACGTTTCTTATGTCTCCTGCATTGGGAGGAGGTTTCTTTACCACTAGCACCACCTGGGAAGCCAGATTAATTCCCTACTGGAATGTATTAATAAACTTTCCCAAATGACTGTATAGGTTTGTTCAAATCCTTAGCATATAGAACAGTACTTGGCAATATTTAGTAATGTTGAATTACTAATAATTATTTCATTAGGCTTTCCCTACATATTGAGCACGTGATTAATAGCAAGCAGCATAAAATGAAAAGATCAGTGCCTGGAAGTCAGAATTCAAGTTGTGGGGTTGGCTTTGCCACTAAAGCCTCGTGCGATTTGGATATTAGATTTGTTACATTTCCTATCTGATAACTCCACTCAATATTTGGCATATCCCAAATTTGACCTTCGTAAGACAACTCATATTGTTCATCAAAACTGAGAGATCACCTCTCCAGGAAGTGTTCCCTCCTCTTCAGCTAATGAAGAAGCCTCTATCCCTGTTCTGAGCTCCTGTGTGTGCCTATATCCTGTGTGGTACCTTTTATACAGTATCATAATAGTTGGTTTGACCACGTTTTCACTAATACTCTGTAAATGGCAGGTGCATTGCATGCTCAGTTATGTCTGACTCTTTGCAACCCTATGGCCTGTAGCCTACCAGGCTTTTCTGTCTATGGTATTCTCCAGGCAAGAATACTGGAGTGGATTGCCATTTCCTTCTCCAGGGGATCTTCCCCACCCAGGGATTGAACCCGGATCTCCTGCATCTCCTTGCGTTGGCAGGAGGATACTTTATCATTGAACCACCTGCGAAGCCCATAAATGGCAAGGATCCATGTCTTATTTAACTTAATGTATCTTGTAGTCAGTGTCTTTTCAGATGACCTAATGAAGCTAGTACCTGAAAATCATTCCTGATTCTTTCCCCTCCCCATTTTTCCATGTCACCTTTTGTTCCAATCAGTCCTCAAATGCTGTGTGTTCATCTCTCTTTCCTGTCTGCATTGCTACTGCTTTGCCCTCTTGGTCTCTTCTGTAGTCCAGTCCCAGGATCTCTGGATCGGTCTTCTGATTCCGGTTCTAATATGTTCAACTCACAGTGCTGTCAGTGATCTTTCAAGAATGCAAACCTCACCAGCATTTCTGTTAACAAATGGAATGTGAATATGTATCAGGCACTGGAACTATAATCATGAAGGAGACACGAGTTTCACTTTCACAGAGCTTATATTGGGAGGAATCTTTACATAATTACACAATGTTACTCTATTTGGAATCTTTCAATGACTTCCTGTTGCTGGTTTAAAAAAAGTTCTTTGTGATCCAGACCAAACACCTGTCTGGTTTTCTCTCTCAGAATTCCCTCTGCTCCAGTCACACCAGCTTCCCTTGACTTCTGGAAATCCTCTGAGCAAAAGTCCTCTGTGCCACCACTGTACCTGGCACCTGCCTGCTTTAAAACTCTCATTACAACATACAGGACTAATTTACATTAGTCCTGAACGATCATCTTTTGAAGGTCAGAGGAGTCTTACTCTTTTTATCAGGGTTGGTGCAAAGTAGTGAATAAATGCAAGCATTTTGGGGGGTACAAAGTATTAGAAGAGTTCAGTAGTAGAGGGAGAGGTTACTGAGTTAAAACAAAGAGTTCCTGGAGACAGAGGAGATGGAATAGACGCTCTTCCAGGAAACATCTCTCACCTTGGATAGCTCAACTTTTCTCTAAATTGACTTCTTTGAAATCATGTTAACAAGCGAGTTTGCACATGGATAAATCCTCTTGAACACTGACTTTTTAAAACTGACCTATATCTTGTTACCCCAAACCAAATAGTTTAACAGAATTTCTAATGTGTGACATTTTAAAATGTGTCAGCATAAATGTCCTGAGTTCTGAAAAGAATAAGTGACAAGAGACTATCA